TTTATTCTCCTTGGTAAACCATTCCAGTGCTTTCAAAAATTTTAATTTTTGATAACTTTGACTTCTGCAACATTTCTTCTCCATTCTTTTTATCCCTTTCATTTCTGTGTCCTTAAGTTTGCCCTTCGGAGACTTTTTTTTGAGAAATTTCATCTTATTTTCAGCTTACATTATTTAGCCTATTTTTTTTCTGCAGATGGTGCTGTGGTTTTAGTGTTGGAATTCTCCTTGTTAATGTGGCTGTACGGGGAGGCTGAAGGGGGAGTGACTAAGGAGATTGAAAACCTAATTCCATCAGAGTTGCCCATGGAGGTTCCAAGGGAAATAGCCCTTACCTAAGAAGAATTGCAGTCTGCCCCTTGCCCCTTTGCTGTTTGTTTATTGGGCTTCTTGGACCCCCTCATCTGCCTGTAGTCTGCTCATCTAGGCCACAGCCACACTATTCCCTGATGAAGAAGGAACTTACTTTCTAGCTGCAGCTAGCCTAAACTGCTAGGACTAGGTTTTGTGTTTGATTTTATTTAACCAGAGCACCTATGATGAAAGGTGGACTGTTATTTATCTAGTCTGTCCCTATTCCTGTCAGATCCAGTCTGCCTACTATAATGGCAGCTAGCAATACCTCCCTGCTTGGTGATCATTTGATCCACCTCCTGGATTTGTTCAGGAACTTGAAGCATATACTTTCAGATAAGTAAATGCATGCATCTCTCTCAGGCAAACTGGGCTGAGAAGTTACCTCCAATGTTCACAGTTATTGGGAAGCCACTATATTATTGAGTCACCTGTAATTTATCTAGCTCTTAAAATTTAGTAATTTTTGTGGACCAGACACATGGCTCAATGATAGAATTAGCACATGACTTGTACGTGTAAGACCCTGATTTAACCTCTGGCATTGTAAAAATAAATACATAAATTTTTAAAAAAGTTACTGTTGTCTTTAGGTGTTCTAGGCTTGATTGTTATTATTTTTTTTAAATAAATAGATTTTATTTGGAGCGTTTTTAAGGTGTGGAGGGGAGAGAGGGAGGGGGAGAGAGAGGGAGAGAGAGAGAGAGAGAGAGAGAGAAAGAGAGAGAGAGAGAGAGAGAGAGAGAGAGAGAGAGAGAGAGAGAGAAATGCATTCAAGGACGGAGAGAGCCCCTACACACACCCTAGCATTAGACACGAAAGCATGAAAGTGCTCATCTTAAGAGGGGAGATGTGGGCAACACATGCGCTCGGGCACTACATGGGCTCGGGAAGCATATGCGCCTCTAGGTTTGATTATTGAGCAAGGGTTAATAGAATGTATTGTCTAAACAGATGTCTTGTCTCTAGTATGCAAATAATAGTACCTCTCTCACTGGCATTTTATAAATACATGAAAAGCTCATAGAATCACCATTTTATGAGTGATTGGCATATAGTAAGTGCTCAGGAAATGCCATCTATTATTATTTTTTAAACTTCTTTTATTGCCTATGTAGTTGGGTAATAGCCAGAGGTGGGAAAGTGCATTAATTTTTTAAATTGTGATTCTGTGATTTATTATATTGCTAATGATGGTTTCTCATGGACATGATTCTACATCACACCCATCACCAGTGTATTCATTCATCTTCGTCCCCCAAGGTCTCCAACTCTGTCTCTTGCCATTGGATTTTTAAAAGAGTATTGGGAGGGAGTGGATAGAGACATAGAGAAATGTGCTTTATTTTTTAAAAATCTGTAATGTTTATAAGATGTACTCATTAGTGGCTTAAAATCACTTGATTCAAAGTTTTTTTTTAATACATCTTTTTGTAATTAAAACTTTTTATTTTGGGGAGAGGATGTTTGGACCACATTTGGTGTTGCTCAGGGGACCATCAGTGCTGGGAATTGAACTGTTGTTGGCTATGTTTAAGGCATATGCCTTAATCCTGTATTCTCTTTCCAAGCGTCTTTTCATTTAATAGTTTTTCCTTTTTTGTATAATATCAGTATTTTAATTTTTAGATTAAATTAATATATAAAGAGCTGTGGATACTAGTACTGTAAAGTTTCTTGCCGTTTTCAGAAAGTTTCTCTAACCCTATTTCCTGTCAAATAATCAGAAATAAAAATCTGGATGTCTTTATAGCCAGTTCTGTAACATCCCCCATTTTTCCCTTTGCTTATCTTCAAACGTATTTCTAAAACAGTTTTGTTGTTAATGTTATTGTGAGGGCCATTCCTATAGGTATATGGGAACCAGGCAATTCCAGATGATGCTTGGGAGCCACTCCCAGTAGTGTTGGAGTGTTACGTGGTATCAGGAACTAAATCCTCTGCTCCACCGATCTGAGTATATTCTTGGTTCTTTAGGAATATTATTTCCTCAGAACTCTTCAAATACTGAGAACTTATTTTACTAAATATTTTTAGGTTCCCAGAACTTAAATACGTAATATTGGGTACGTATATAAAAAATGATGAGTGACTGCATACTGTTCAGGAAATATGTATTTGCAATATATTCTCATAGCTGATCCAAAACTGTTAGATTTTCTGTAACTATTGCGTTTTTGTCTTTGTGATTTTTATCTAATCCTTATATTTAGTGTGATGTTAATGTTTTCTGCATTTGATTTTTCTTAATATAATGATTAAATATTAAAAAATCATGATTTATAAATGAAGTGTAGATAGCCTTTGAAGAAAAATATTTTCTAGCTTTTGGCAATTTCCTTCATATTAATAATATTCCAGGTTAATAGTAAGTGGTATTAAAATTTCTTTCATGTTTGCCAAATTCTGTTATATTTGTTGTGGATTTTAAAAATTTAAGTAAACCAGAACATTGCAGATATCAATGGTATAATTTCCTTTGTTTTTCTACTCAGTGTTGGCTTTCTCTTTTTCCATTCTGTAAGAATAAGTATTATGAACTTGTATAGTCCACGGGTTCATATTTTCATATTCCTTCTTGCATGTAATGTACATATACAAAATTGTCTGACAGTGTTTCTAAATACTATTTTCTACATGTCATTTGCATCGTACCTATTTTTTACTGCTGAAGTAGATGCATAGCTGTATAGTCACCCAGTATAAGAAAGGGTGACACTTTCCTACAACAGTCAAAAAAAGAATGGTCTTTCCAGTAAATGGTGCTGTAGGTCAATTAGACATACCTTTAAGAAAAAATTTGCCTCTCTTTCTATCTTAAGCAAGGAACTCAGTTCCTGATGTGTTTCAGGTTAAATACAAGAGATAAGAGATAAGATATTAATGCTCTTAGAAAAAATAGGATCTTCATGATTTTTGAGGCCAAAAATATGCAATATAATTATGTCACGAGGCCGAAGGGATAGTGTAGTGGGTAAGGCACATATAGATTGTCTCAAAAATCTTTGCTTTTGTTTCGTGACTTAATTCTTAACAGTTTTATCAAGTCTTTAACCTTCCCAGTCTTTGTATTTTTGTGCCACTGAAGAAATGGCATAATTGATGTGGTATTTAACTTGATCCAATATCCACAGTCCTTATAAACTAAAGGCTTGATTCTTGTTCAGCTCTTTTGTTTCCTTTGTCCTTAGTCTTCCCTTTAATTATTAAGAACTTCTGCTGCATCACATTAGGAGATATGGTAACTGTTTTTTTTTCCATTAAAATTTTTTTCTTGTTAAGGTAACTAGCATTTTTGCTTTTGTGTATATAAAGTTACTGTACCTTTGCCACCACTAAAGTGCCAAAGGTTACTATCCTCATGTCATTTCTAGTATGCTTTGTCCTCTCCCCATCCACATCCCTCCCTCTCCTGATATTGCTTGGTAAATTTAGTTTTGTAGTCAAAATCCAAGTAAGATAAAATTTATTAGATACTGTTGATTCCTTTGGTTTCTTTATATATTACATATGACAGAGATATATATTATATATTACATATTTGGTATTTGTCCTCCTCCTGATGTATTTTCTTAACATAATACCATAGCAAAGAGGGAGATTTCTAATAGCTGAGTACAATTGCATTTTATATTTACATAAAGTATATGTATTAAATACGAATACATATACACACATACACCACAACTGCTATACATATACACCTACATACCACAGCTCTTTTATCCATTTTATCTGCTATTAGACATTTGGGTTGTTTCCATATATTGGTTATTGAAAATAATGATGGAGTGATTTTGTCTTCTTGGGATAGATACCAGGAAGTGGAATTGCTGTGGAAAACAGCATGGACATTGCTCAAAATATTATAAATACAGTTCCTACAATCTCTAACAGTTCCACTCCTTAACTGTCCCCATTTAATGATGTGTAAAGTTTGTTGGTAGTCTTGATGAGTTAGAGGTCCTAGTTATAATCACTTTAAAATTTTTATAGATTCCTAAGAATCTTAGATTCTAATGTAGCAAGTTTGGGGATGGGGAGAGACATGTAATAAAAAACACACATACCAGCCCTTCCCCACTCCCCAAATTCACATGCAATAAGAATCATTAACCTTTAGAACATTCAATAATTAGTGTCACAGTTACTTGATACAAATGCTTTGGGAATTTGTTTCTGTATATAGTTATTAAGAATTATGGAGATGTTTGAAGCTGTTGTGGTATAATAGAAAAATCACTGACTCCGACCCAGGAGACTGATTCATTTATTCTCTGATTTTTTTCAATCTACATAGCAAGTATAATATTTATTTTAAAGCTTTTTAAAAAATGATTCAATGAAATTACTTTTTTTGAACCAGTATTTGTTGAATAAAAAATGAGAAACATTGTAGTAATAGTTTAACTGATGCCTTTATAGTAAAGCTTAAAGAATTAACAATAATTCATGTGCCATTTTAGTTTTAACTGTATAAACTTTCATTTTTCTCTTTTTTAAGTGATAGGCTACTCATGCAGTGGTTTTAAGTGTAATTAATATAAGTAGCCTATAATTGTAATAGTTATTATAAGTAATTAAATGTAAGTACCCTTTTGGAAAATGTGATGTGTGGAAATCTTATTTTTCCCCCCTGCTTTCAGCTCCATTTACCTCTTAATTCTCCTTTGCCTGGAAGTGAATTGACCAAGGAACCTTTTCGTTGGGATCAGAGACTCTTTGCATTAGTGTTGCGGTTGCCTGGTACCATGTCAGTAGAATCAGAACAGTTGACTGGTGTTCCTTTAGATGACTCTGCAATCACACCAATGTGTGAAGTGACAGGCGGTAAGTTTTTTGTTGGCAATGACTCATAGACTTACAGCTGTTTATCTGAATGTTTCAAAATGTATATTTCAAAAACTTTGTTTTAAATAAGTTAATGCTAAGATATACAAGGATTAGACATGTGGTTTTGAAACTTTATTAATGAAGGTCTATGATATGCTGTTTGGTCTGTTGTTGTTGTTTCTGCTATTTGAATATTATTGGATCTGCTATTGAGTGATTATTCTGCTCACATATGCAGTGCTGGTATTTGGAGTTAAACGTCCACAAAGTTTAATCTACAAAAGCTCACAATAATTTTGAAATGTTTAGAATTAATTTTTGTTGCAGTTGTTTTGAGAATCATCCATAGAATGACATATGCCTGGTGAAGTGTACTTTGCTTCAGAGGTAAAGAGAAAGAGAGATAGGTTAGAGAAAATAAGCTGTGAGGTCTTAAGTAGGTCTGATCTAGCTAGTTCAGAGTAATAACTGTTAGTGAATATTAACAAAAATCATCAAACTGAATAGACTCTGAACCTATAATATGGAATTAGTTAATAAGTGGGTGCCTGCTATGTACCATGCATTCCTCCCCCCCCCCCCCCCCCCCCCCCATGCTTTAGACCTTTAGTAGTGAAGTTCTACTTGGTTTCATGAAATATTTCAATTTTCATCTAAGGGAATTCTCTGTCCATTATAGTCAACTCTATAAGTTAAAGAAATATAAAGGATGTAATTCACTGGTTTTTAGCTGCCAGTCCATGGTACAGTACACTGACAGGTGCTGGTTAACAAGTGTCAGCCACTGTTTTAGAGGCGATGAGGGGTGGTTTGATGAAAATCAAGGATAAGAACAATGAAGGAAGAAGGAATCAAGGGTGATTGATTTCCTGATGATTCTATTATTAATTTAAACAGTCAGAGATTAATGATCATGCCATGGACTGAGGTAGGGAGAGAATGATTAAGGGGAGATGAGAGGTACAAGAAGGATACTAAATTTTAAAAAGTGCTCAGTACAAAGTTCGTAGAAGTATTGATGACAAAAATTATTTTTATAACCTTTCTAAGGCTTTTCTAGATTAAATTGAATTTTCTTAGCTTCCATAGCTTTTACTCACCTTAGAGATGTTCTTTTTTTGTTGTTATTACTTGTTTTTTTAAAGTCTAATCACTGTAAATTTCTGTGATAAACTGTTTACTGATTTCATACTCACTATAACTTGATCTGGGAAGCAGGAATGGGAGATAATCTTGCATTTCCTGGCTCAGTGCCCAAGAATGACCCCTGATAGGGCTGGTTTGGGGGTTTGAGGGGTGTTACTTTTTTGTGGTTTCTGGGATTTGAACTAGGGTGGGAGGAATGCAAGGCTAATATGCTTTAAACCTTCCTGCCTCCTCCACTTCCCCTGTCCCAGTATTTTCTTTTTTTGATGTGGATTTCACATAATTATAAGTGAGCCCAGCATCTTGGCTTGAAGATATATGCTTTTCCCACACACATAATTAATGATCCTAGAAAGTTTATGCTTCTGTACAAAAATGTCATAGGTTCCAAGAAGTAAGTTTTGATACAGAGCACAAGAAAAGTCTATAGCATATAGACTCATTTTGTAAAGCTGGCAAAATTTGCCATTTTCCTTTAACTTTCAAGATAATTAGTGGATATTTTTTATTTATCAAGTAACCGGTTTATTTACTTTTCTAATTGTCACAAAACATCTTTGTTATTTTATTTCACACTAAAATCATAGCTTATTTACTTATTTTTTCCTGATTGGCTGGTAATATTACAGGTTATGGAATATAGAAAGAATTACTATAATTACACATTTTAAAACATTTATCTTTATTTAAAAAAAAATCTTTGGTCTTTGGGCCATACCTGATGAAGCTCAGAGGTTATTCCTGGCTCTCTGCTTAGGTATCACTCTTGGCAGTGCTTGGGAATTATACGGATGCGGGGATTGAACCTAGGTCTGCTGCGTGCAAGGCAAGCTCTCTACCTGCCTTATACATTTGCTTTTTAAATAATTACATCTTGGGAATATACTTAAGTTTCATGATAGCTTTTTATAATGTTTTAAATGTTTTCTTAAATTGTCTGCTTTTAAAATGTATGATAAATATGTTTACAGTATTTCAGTTTATCAGTTCTTTGAAATGTTTTTTATAGACATTATGTTTAGCATTGATTTTTAGATTAACGTCATGATTTCCAGGGAACAAGATACACCCAGATCAAGGTTCTAATGCCCTGTATGAATCTGAATCTTGGCTAGACTATTAGGCGAAATTGGATGATTAGCTTATTATGTTCTTATTTTTTCATTTTAAACTTAATAAATGTAAAGAAAGCAATCTATTCGATACTGCTAGTACTAAATAAAATTTCAGGTAATTAATATCAAATAATAATGATAAAGGGTATTTTAGTTATGGTAGATTATGCTCGTGTATGGAAGCCAAGTGAAATTGAGAAAATAAAATGTAAATATTTCACATATGCAGTAACTGTCAACAAACCGAATAAATAATGAATGGAATATCTCCTATGTACTTAGCATTAACCTTCATGATAATACTTTTTGGTAAGCAGGAGCAAGATTTTGGGAAGTTAGTTACTAGAGATATATTATGTATGTGATATTACAGATAACAGCTACTGTGATTATTTTTTGTTATGTTTTATTCAGACCAAGATTTTAATTTTTCACATTACTGTAATTGAAAAGAAAATCTATTACCTATTTAGAAAATTAAATTATTGATTGAATAACTTTCATATGTAATTCAGACTTATTTTAGTGATCCTTTGTTAATACTGTCAAACCTCTCTGTGGTTCTTTGTTAATAAATGTAAAAATTTCTGCAGTTGAGTGACTAATTCACTTTTTCTTTTTAATCTTAGGCCGCTCTTACTCTGTATGCTCTCCAAGAATGCTTAATCAATGCCTAGAGTCCTTGGTACAAAAAGTACAAAGTGGGGTTGTGATAAACTTTGAAAAAGCAGGACCAGATCCCTCTCCTGTAGAAGGTATTATTGTCCTTCTTTATTCTAAACATGGCTTTACCCAGCAGGAATTGAAAACTTACAATGTTTTAGTCTTAATTTTAAGATTAATTTAGAGGGTAGTGAAGAGGGAAGGATATAAGTCAAGGTAAACTGAGAGGTCCTGAAGCATCACTTAATTTTTTGTTTTTTTCTGGACCACACTTATTTGTGCTCTGAGTTCGGGGATCACTTCTGGCAGGGCTTGGGAAACCATATGGAGTTCCTGTGTGCAAGGCAAATGCCCTACCCATTCTATCATCACTCCAGCCCCCCAACTTTTAATTCTAATAATTGTTCTCAAATTTGCAGAAGTCCAAACTCATTTTAAGCATTTAAAAGTTCAGCAGCTTCACATTTTTTATTTTAATATTATACATTGCTTTTTTCTGGTTTTCAATCCTTTTTTCTCTCCCCTGTTAATTCATAAGTACTTTCATTATTAATTTCATTTCTTAGCTGCGTTTTATTCCCCCCACCCCTTGCCCTTCCCCCTTCTCAGGATCAAACTGGCTAATACTAAATGGTTTGTATGTTCCAGAAATGAGAATTTTTCTTTCCTTAACTATTAAATTTGATTCTCTTGTTTTTGTTTTGAGGGCTAAATCCAGATGTGCTCACAGCTTACTCCTGGCTCTGTATTCAGGGTCACTCCTAATGAGGCTCAGGGGACCATATGGGATGCCAGGGATCAAACCTGGGTCAGCCACATGCAGGGCAGGCACCCTGCCTGTTGCATTATCTCTCCAGCCCCTAAGTTGATTCTTTTCAACTAAGTCCCACCTGGCTTTAATTCCATACTTAGGAGAGAGAGAACAGAGGGGAAATGCCCTGCAACAGAGGCAGGGGGGGATGGGGCGGATGGGGGGTGGGAGGGATACTGGGATCCGTGGTGGTGGGAAATGGGCACTGGTGGAGGGATGGGTATTTGAATAATTTGGAAGTCATTAAACATTTACCATGGGTGAACCACTAGCACTAGAGTCGATAATTGGGAGAAAGGAAAACGTCAAAGAGATGCATTCCCTTGGCGGTATTAGAGGAAAGGAAAAGAGGACACTAAAATGTATAAACTGTGTTAATGTTTCTAGTTAAAAAAATTCTTTTTCTTCAAACAAATTGTTAGGTGACTGTATTTTTATTCATTGAGTTAGAAACAGGCACTAAGGTAGGTGTTTTGACTATGATTGTTTTCATTTTTCAAAATTAACAATAGTCTCTTAAGTTTTATATAAGTTTATAACTCATCTATAGAACTATTTATCATTCCTCTAAACCAGAGATGATTCTATATGTCAGGGCAGATTAAATTGGTTTTCTTTTTCTTTCTTTTTTTTTTTTTAAATTTTAGACTACTTAAATGTGTTATTTAACAATTCTATTTTTTTTTAATTAGTGAAATACCATGAGGTACATATTTAACAATTCTTAATATTTACCTGGCATGATGATGTAGTCTGGGTATATCATGTAGTGCTGAGAATATTTATCATATTCTTATCACAGAGTGTTTTACATGTCTTGACTGATCAAAAAAGGTTGCTGTGGGTACTGCCTTTTAACTATTGAACTTGTAATTGGAAATTACAGATTTTGATTCTCTGGTGAATTTCAATCTAAATGTTAAACAAGTATAGCAGTATCCTATTTAAAAAAATAGAATTATCTAAAATTGAGTAGGACATTTTTATTTTGAAATTGAATAATGAATATAATTTTGATTTTTGTCTTTTACCTTACCGACATATACTTTCTTTGTCTTAATTCCTTTACTATAGATGGTCAACCAGATATATCAAGGCCTTTTGGATCTCAACCTTGGCATAGCTGTCACAAACTCATCTATGTCAGACCAAATCCTAAGACTGGGGTTCCTATAGGTCATTGGCCTGTTCCAGAATCTTTCTGGCCAGATCAGAATTCTCCGACACTAGTAAGTTCTGTCCAGCGTGACTGTAACTTTTTAATACTATATATTTAACTGCTTTTTGGACTAGCTTTAGGTACTACTGTTAATTAAAGATGTATCTTATAAAAGAAATTAGATGTCTGAAGTACCTTTGCACAAACTCTTCTACTTCAGTGTAATATATTGTTAAGTAGGAAGTAACATACAAATGGCGTCTGTTTCTTTGAGAATCTAATAATATGTTTATATATTTTTCACTGGCATCTGGATATAAAATTATAAACTACAGCAAGAAGTTCTTTTCAGACTGTATGTAATACAATATGAATATTTGTAATTGGATATAATACAGATTTTTTTTGGGGGGGGGTCACACCTGGTGATGCACTGGGGTTACTCCTGGCTCTGATCTGAGGAATTACTCCTGGCGGTACTCAGGGCACCATATGGGATGCTGGGAATTGAACCTGGGTCGGCCGTGTGCAAGGCAAACGCCCTATCTGCTGTGCTATCACTCCAGCCCCATAATAATACAGAATTTAAACCAAGACTTCAAAAATTATTCTAGGGGCTGAATAAATAGTACAAACAGTAGGACACTAACTTTGCATGCTGCTGACCCAGATTTGATATCTGGCATCCCATTTAGTCGACTAAGCACTGCCAGGTATAATTCCTAAGTGCAAAGCCAAGAGAAACCCCTAAGAATCATTGGATATAGCCTAGAAACCAAAAATATTATTCTAATAGGTTGCCTGTAATCTCTAAGATGTAGTTCGAAGTTCATGTTGCCTTATGTTTTTACTTGTATTCAAGTGTTTTCAGCCTAGAGATTTTTTTTTTAATTAGTGGAACACCATGAGGTACAGTTGTAGATTTATAAATTTTTGTGCTTGGGTTTCGGTTATACAATGATCAAATACCCATCCCTCCACCAGTGCCCATTTTCCACCACCATAGATAATATCCCTCCCCCTCACTCCCCCATCCCACCCTGCCTCTGTTGCAGGGCATTCCCTTTTGTTCTCTCTCTCCTTTTGGGTGTTGTGGTCTGCAAAAGAGGCATTGAGTGGCAAACATGTTCAGTCCATAGTCTACTTTCAACATGCATCTCCTCTCCTGGGAGGATCCTCCAAACACCCTTTATTTGGTGTTCCCTTCTCTATCTGAACTGCCCTTTCCCCTAGAATACCCGGCTGCCCTCTAAGCTATGGAGTAATCCTCCTGGTGTTGATCTCAGCTATTCTTGGGTATTAATCTCATATTTTGTTACTTTATATCCCCCAGATGAATGTAATCTTTCTATGTCTATCCCTCTCTTTCTGACTCATTTCACTTAGCATGATACTTTCCATATTGTACCACTTGTATGTAAATTTCATGACTTCATCTTTTCTAAGAGCTACATAGTACTCCATTGTGTAGATGTACCAAAGTTTCTTTAACCAGTCATCAGTTCTCGGGCACTCAGGTTTCTTCCAGATTCTGGCTATTGTAAAGAGTGCTGCAATGAACAAACAAGTGCAGATGTCACTTCGACTATACATTTTTGCCTCTCTGGGATATATTCCCAGGAGTGGTATTGCTGGGTCAAATGGGAGCTCAATTTCTAATTTTTTGAGAAACGTCCATACTGTTTTCCAAAAGTAGCCTAGAGTTTTAAGAAATGGTTTCATAGGACACTAATGGGATATTTTATGGGTGAGAGCATGACTTTTTTTTATACTTCTAAAACATAAGAATTGTATTTAAAAGATCATTCAGTGGCCTTTAATATTTCATCTAGCTATCATTTATAAATTAAACCAAAGCTTATGCTTCCTACAGCTTCTCAGGATAATTTTTATTTTCAATCTAAATATGGCTTATAAAGTAATTTTTTCTACGCATTAGGAACTTGGGACATATACTCATTACGAATTTGGGACATATAACATCAGACTTTGTTTTGCATTTTTCACCATTATTTTCATCATTATTTCTTTTATTTCTGTTGAACATCGTAGATTTTTAGTTTGGCATTATAAATAAATTTGTCATTTCTGGCTATGTTTGCATTCTCTTTTGGAGCCCTTTCAACTCTTACAAGAACAGGTATCACATTTCTGTAAAATGCTGCCTCATGGTTATTCATTCTCTTTAAAACCTAGAGTAGCATTTATAGTATGTTCAAGTCCTGATTGAAAAAAACACAAAGCTATTTCACAAGGATTATCTGTTAATATTATTTTAGCAATCTGTTGCAAATTGTGATAAGCCACAAAAGAAGTTTGAAATAGGGTGAGTTTTTTGTGGTAGTAGGAAGTAGTAGGAGGAGGAAATTAAAAAATATATGGGGATAAGGGACTGAGATAAATATAGGAGGTAAGGAACTTAATTGCCTTGCAAGCAGCCACTTCCCACCTGCCCTGGTTCAATCCCTGGAACCACATATGGTCTCCTCTGCACCACCAGAGTGTCACCTCTAGTTTAGAGGAATGACAAGTAGCTTTTCTATACTGGGTTGTAAGTGTATATAAGATAAGACTTAGAGACTATTGTTAAATAAATCAAATTGCTCATAACTTTAAATGCAGCTTTAATGAATTTTAGCATTTTTAGGTGGGGCTCAAAAAACAACTGAAGATATTTTTACATTGCTCCCTTACGAAAATTAATCTAATGATTATATTAGACAGTTACCAACAGGGTTCTGTATTCACACTGTGCAAGGGAGAAAATAATAAAGGCATTAGGGGTAATTTCTAAAACAAGGAGATAGGGGAAATGGTCATTTTACAAGTACTTTAGCATGATGGGAGCATACATGTTAAAAAGTAGAGAGGAACAAGATAATCCAGGATCTTTGTATAAGACATTAAAAACACCTAGACAGTATTTTTAGGTGATTATCTCCTACTTTCTACTAATAATTTCCAGTGGGGAAATTACATATTCACATTCCACAGCTATGAGATTGAGAGGGTGAGTAATTTGGAGACTGAATAAAAATAGTAGTCTCGTCTGTGAAATGAAGGGATGAATTCGAGTGATAAGAGCTAAGAAAATTAATTTCTAGAGATGAAAATTTAGTACTGACAGGGCAGTAATTAAATACTAAGTTGCTGCCATGTATATGTGTGTGTGTGTGTGTGTGTGTGTGTGTGTGTGTGTGTGTGTGTGTGTGTGTTTGCCGTTTGGTGCAAGGCAAACTCCTTACCCACTGTGCTATCGCTCCAGCCCCAGTGTGAATGTATTATAAATGACATAGAATTTGTGGCGTCCTCTTATCTAATTCTGTATGGCAGTAAAATTAGGAGAATACAGGGTTGATATTAAGAATAGCATCAAGGTGTTTCTCTGCTTTTGGTGCCATTCCCAGGGTTTTCTCCTAGCTCTGCACTCACCGATCTCTCCTGGAGGTACTGAGGATTAAACCTGGATTGGTTGCATGCAGAACCAGTACCTCCTGTACTAGCCTGTCTCTATTATATTTTTAAGTATTTTCTCTCAGTTTAATGGAGCTTGCTTTGGTAAATTACTCACTAGCAAGATTCAGGAATTGAGTGAATTTTGGTAGTGAAGAGATCAAAATGAGATGTTTCTGTTATTTTGTGTAAATAGTAATAAGCCTTCCCCCTCTAGCCACCTAGAACATCTCATCCTGTAGTGAAGTTTTCCTGTACTGACTGTGAGCCCATGGTTATTGACAAATTGCCTTTTGACAAATATGAGTTGGAACCTTCACCATTGACTCAATTTATTCTGGAACGGAAATCGCCTCAAACATGTTGGCAGGTGAGATGAGCAACCATCGCTATTTAAACATTTAAGTTAAAATTTTCGTTAAAAATTTTAAGTTGAATAATAGGCTCCTGTAATATTTTATAAAGATGATATATATGTGTATTATGAAGTTTTAACCATTCATTTTTAACAGGTATATGTGAGCAATAGTGCAAAATATAGCGAACTTGGTCATCCGTTTGGTTACTTGAAAGCCAGTACAGCACTGAATTGTGTCAACTTATTTGTGATGCCTTATAATTACCCAGTCCTCCTTCCTCTTTTAGGTAAGTCAGGAATTTCACATTAAGTCAATTGTGCCATGTTCTGGCTTAGTATTTATAGAGTTTTTTTCTAAAAATAAACTTTAGAAAACATCACTTGTAAAAATTAATACCAGTATTTTAATTTGAACTTGATCTAGGTTTGATAGAAAATTATTCACATCAGTTAGAGTCTATGTCAATACATCTGATTCTACAGAAAATATTAACATATCTGTCTGTACTGTCTGTACTGTCCTCTCATTGTTCATTGATTTGCTCGAGCGGGCATCAGTAATGTCTCCCTTGTGAGACTTGTTTTTGGCATATCAAATATGCCATGGGTAGCTTGCTGGGCTCTCCGAGAGGGGCAGAGGAATCGAACCCGGGTCAGCCACGTGGAGGGCAAATGCCCTACCTGCTGTGCTATCACTCCGGCCCATTAACATATATTACATACTTAGATAAAAATATATAATTTACTTGATTACTATGTTCAGGTATCACTACTGGTGTGCTCTAGGGAACTTGTAGTACTGGGAATAAATAGAATCCATGTAAGTTACATGGAAGGCAGCACCTTACCTCTTGCTGTACTAGCTTATTGGGCCCTAATTACTGTAATTGTTATGCATGTGATGCCTGGGATTAAATCTCTTGCTTCACGTAAGCAAGCTACATCCCAGTCCCTGTTTAAAATTTTTTAATTATTTATGCTATTTTTCCTGAAAGTTGGTTTTGCTCATATAGAATTGGTAATTCAGACTTTATATTAAATAGGCATTTTGTGGAAGTTTGTTTTGTTGTGTTTGGGTCATACACAGCGGATCAGGATTTACTCCTGGCTCTGTGCTCAGGGATTTCTCCAGGCAGTGCTCAGGGACCATGTGTCGTGCCAGGGATTGAACCTGGGTCACCCACTTGCAGGGCAAGTGCCTTAATTCTGTACTGTATCTTTGGTCCCAGAAGCTTCTTATTTTCATATGTAAAACCTTATATCTGTACTTTAATTTTCATTTGGTAGGATTTTTAACAAAATAAGTGATTTGTTTTAAAACATGTAGCACTAATCTAAAAGTTAGCTTTGGGAGTCATCTGACTATTGGTTTTGATTTTTCATTTGTGATTTTAGTGTTTGGGTCACACCCAGTAATGCTCAGGTGTCAATCCTGGCTCTGCACACAAGAATTACTCCTGGCAGTACTCAGGGACATATGGAATGCTGGGGATCAAACTTGGGTTGAGTGCATGTAAGGCAAGCGCCTTACCCACTGTACTATTGCTCTAGCCCCTGGCTATTACTTTATGATTAATACTGTTGGAGAAGAATTTTTTACTTCATGGAATTAGATTTACATTTATAGTGGAATCATTAACAGGTTATTTTATAGAAAGCATTGTATTTTGTTTTAATTTCTCAAGTCTGCTTAGTACTTTTATAATTTTATTGTGTTTACATTATAATGGGCAATTTTAAATAAAATAATATTAATGTTAAATGCCAGAACCAAAAATTCTAGCCATTTGGTCTGGTTAAAAATTTATATTTTGAGTTTCTGTGAAAATAAGTGATAATAATTTGTTCATACCTGCATTTGTAGATGACTTGTTTAAAGTACATAAAGCAAAACCAACATTGAAGTGGAGACAGTCATTTGAAAGTTATTTGAAGACAATGCCTCCCTACTATCTTGGGGTATGTTACAATTGTTAAAAATAGAACTTCCTTAAAATATTTGCATTTATAGTTCAATAAAAATGTATGTATTGCTGGTATATTTTAAATGCCATGAAAACTGAATGTCTGAGTGACCAATTTAGATAATGTGGGAAAATGTTTTGGTGATTTCTGTAGTCGTGGGAATTTCCTATTTTTATAGTAGAAAGAGATTGAATTGTGTGTCTAGTACAGTGTGCCTGCCATGTAAGAGAATGAAAGGAAGAAACAGAATATGAATTATTGTATAAGTTTACTCATTTCATGTTTCATAGCCACCCAGAGAATTTTACAAAAGCTACACAGGTATTAAATATCAGAAATGGAATTTGATACATGTACTTAGATAGCTTCTAATATCTGTCAATAATTTTTCTCCCCTTTCTGACACCATCCTATTCCTATATGCTAGAAATTACTGCTGAGGATGTATTTAATTGCACAAAGTAATTTTTAGTTAGTTTTTCCTAATAATTGGAAATAGATCTGTAGTAAATATTAGACTTGCCATATTCTTAGATTTCTTTTTGGGTTGTTTCTGTTGTCTCAGCTAAACTAATAATAATAGTAATGATTAAACTAAGTGAATGCTTGTTGAGCGGTAGGTGCTTTTATAAATGCTTTACAAGTATTAATCACTAAATCACATGTCAACCCTGTGAAGTATAGACACTGTCATACTATTATTGCTTTGCAAAGGATAAACTAAAGAAACTTGTGAGTAGTTGAGCCCAATTCACCCAATCACCAAGATAGAAATCTTCGATTTGCCTTTTCACGTACTCTCTAGGTACTATCAGATCTACCTCTTCTCCTGCCAATTCCTTCCAAACTTAATATTTCCAGTGCTGCTAAGAAGCCAGTTCACCCTGTTTCATTCTGGATGCTGTTGTTATAACCTCTGATCCTTTCAATTTCAAATCTTCCCTTGTGCTTACAGACATTTTACTAAATTAACAAATTATGTTACTCTATTAAAAATAAGGACAACTTGGTAGTGGAAAAATTAAAAGTTTAGTATTAAGTGTTATTTTTTGCCCCCCATAGCCTTTGAAGAAAGCTGTCAGAATGATGGGAGCACCTAACCTAATAGCAGACAGTATGGAATACGGACTTAGTTACAGTGTCATTTCATACCTCAAAAAACTTAGTCAACAGGTAATGTTGAGAAGAAAAGTGGGACCATTAAGTATTTTGAGTGGTTTTGGCTAAAATGGTTAATGGGAAAGATCTAGAGTTTTAACTGGCTAAAGTGGTCAGGTCTAGTGTTTTATGGTGCTAATTCTATTGTATTAATATTTCTATTAGCATTTAAAAACCATGTATCAGATAGTAATAATTCTACATAGAGTTTATGATAAATTTTGAAATGTTAATCTTAATTTCTAATTTATTAAAATGATTTTATGTATTCCTAGTCTTAAGTGTGACTGTTCTTTACATTTTCTTTTGAGAGTCTATTAGAGACTTGTTTTTCTTTAAGTATCAATTGCCTTTGCTCTATGTTTTACTTAATTTTGTCTTTCAAATTGGGATTTCTGTTGAACACATGTCATTTGGGGTATAAGTCATAATGTCATTTGGGACATTAATATTAATTATAGGCAAAACAATATACAATTTGTCTACCAAATTCTTGACATAAATTATGCTACTTGTTTTAACTTTATATATAATTTATAGATAAATATTTAATAGTAATACTTAATATTTTCATGGTTTTAAGATGATGCTTATTTATTTTTACTCTAGGCCAAAATAGAATCTGATCGAGTCATTGGATCTGTAGGCAAAAAAGTAGTACAGGAAACTGGAATTAAAGTTCGAAGCCGATCACATGGTTTATCAATGGCATATAGGAAAGATTTTCAACAGCTGCTCCAGGGAATTTCAGAGGATGTTCCTCATAGACTGCTAGACCTAAATATGAAAGAATATACTGGGTTCCAAGTTGCTTTGCTCAATAAGGTAATGATTGAAGTTAGTAGTGCTCTTATTATATACTTTAACTCTCTCCCCTCCCTCCTTTCTCTCTTTCTCTCTCTGTCTTTCTCTCTCTCTTTCTTTCTCCCTCCCCTCCCTCACTTTTTTCTCTTTCTCTCTTGCCTCTTCTGTCTTCTTTATCTTCATTGTTGTTGGTAATGTTTCAGTGACCTGGAAAGCATACATACCTTTATCTGGCTGTGGTGCCCACATTTTTTCTTAGTTGTGATACTTGTAAAGGATTGTACATCAAGTTGTAATGCTTGCATGCTTGGCTTCATTGCTCACAGGATTTTGCACACATAGTTGCAGTGCTTGAACAAGAGTTGTCAAGAGTTATGCTCTTGAGGCACGCAAGACATGATTATAGTGCTCTGTTCACTTGGGCGTCACATTTGTACTTGCCAGAGGTCATAATTGACCATGTGCTTGCACATCTTTTTAGCTATGGGACTTCCATACATTTGACTATAGTGCAGTTTGAAATCTCAGGCAGAACTCCAGGCTCATGCTCAGCACCATGGATTTGAATTGATTACTATTCCTTTGCAATTACTAAGCCTCTGCACAGTTTTTTCAGATTTGAGTATAGTTTATATCTCTACAGAATAATGATCGTTAGTCTTATTGAAGTTAAGAATCAATGCAGATACGTTTATTGTGGCTAAATTAAAAGGATGAACTAAATAAGTCGACTAACTTGTTTATTTTATAGATGAATGCAGGACTTAGAGATAATCTACCAGTTATATAAACAATAGTAGAGTTTGCTGAAATTTGACATTTACAACATAATCCTGAAATGCTTTCATATAAACTCATTTTTTGAAAGATCTTCATCCAACTAGAGAGATAATACAGAGGTTAAGGAACTTGAGTACAGGAGTTAAGACACTTGTCCTGCTCATAGCTGACCCTGGTTCAGAAACCCAGCATATGGGAGGGTGGGTTTTTTTGAGTGTGGCCCAACGTCTCGCCTCCCTGCCCCCCGCCCCCCGCCGCCTTTTTTTTATTTTGTAGAAACAAAGAAGTTGTTAAAATTTGTATCCTAAAATACTACACACATACACACATGCACCCATGTGTGTGCATGTACTCATGAGTGGCTTTATCTAATTTCTTTGTTATGTTTTTGTTCAGGCGCCATACCCGGCAGTTATCAGGGCTTATTCCTGAATCTGCTCGAAGATGTCTCCTTCAGACTTCTAAAAAAATTTTTTATAAAGTAGTTCACAATATTTGATTGCATTTAATATTTGAACACCAATCCCACCACCGTTACACTTTCCCACTACCATATTTCAGATGTTCCCATCCCGAACCTCAAAGCAGAACCGAAATAATTTTTTATTGTTTGTTATGAATAAATCACAGAAAATGCTCTAGAAAAGTTTCCTTAAAGGAAAATGTGTGAAGACTGTGGTATTTCACCAAGGGGCCCTTAAGCCCTTCTATAAGAGATCCTAACAAGTTGTTAAAAGTTGAGCCTTGTGAGCTCATATATATATGTATGTATTTTATATATACATATAAAGTAAAGGCCCTCCCGTTGATCATCGATTTGCTCGAGCTGGCCCAGTAACGTCTCCATTGGAGACTTTGTTGTTACTGTGTCTGGCATATCGAATACGTCACGGGGAGCTTGCCAGGCTCTGCCGTGCGGGCGAGATACTCTCGGTAGCTTGCCGGGCTCTCCGAGAGGGGTGGAGGAATTGAACTCGGGTCGGCCATGTTGGCTGTGTGCAAGGGAAAGAATATATATGTAAAAATGTGTTTCCCTCTAAGACTGGTTGCCTTCTACTTTAAGCCCCATCAGATGTGGTGTGCTACTCTTGGAGTATGAGTGGTGTGAGGTATGAGGTGTCCAGGAATATATATATATATATATTCATGGGTGAGGCTTGGCTGAGCTTGTGGAGAGCAGCTGTAAGCATGGCGGCGGTTGAGTTCTCCTTCACTCTTGCTGGGGCTCAGGTACTACATGCCAGGGATAGAACTCAGGTTGGCTACATGCAAAAGCAAGCAACTTTTATGCTGTACTCTCTCCAGCCTCTAATTTTAGTTTTCAAATTGGCAGTGGTTTTTACTTTTTATTGAGATAGCATTAGTTTATGATAGCATAATGTTTTTCTGTTTTAGAGGCATTTTGTCAGCCTACCATCCCCACAGGGCTGGAGCGATAGCACAGCGGGTAGGGCGTTTGCCTTGCACACAGCCAACGTGGCCGACCCGAGTTCGATTCCTCCGCCCCTCTCGGAGAGCCCGGCAAGCTACCGAGAGTATCTCGCCCGCACGGCAGAGCCTGGCAAGCCACCCGTGATGTATTCGATATGCCAGACACAGTAACAACAAAGTCTCCAATGGAGACGTTACTGGGCCTGCTTGAGCAAATCGATGAATGACGGAAGGACAGTGACAGTGACCATCCCTACCACTTAAGGGCCAATATCCATCTACTACAATTCAATGGATTTTTTTTGCCTACTTACCTAACCCTTAGTAACTTCAGTTCTGTTCAGAATCTGAGGGTTCCCCCCTGACACATCCCCCACCCCCGTTGGACATTGTTTTCTCCTGTTATATTTTCTAAATAGCATATGAGTTAGATCATCTGGTATTTTGTCTTTCTCCTTCTGACTTTCTCCTTCTGACCATCCTCCCTGCCTTTCTAATTTATTTCACTTAGCATAACCTCCTCTAGTTCCATCGTGTTGCAGCAAAAAGCTAGATTTCATTTTCTCTAATGGCTGAGTAATAGTCCATTTTACACTAATTTTAAAACTTTACTACAAAAGCTATAGTGGTAGGCATATTATAAGTTTGGAATATAGAAAGGCTAATTAAACAGCCAGTGATATATGGAGGCAGAAATACAGGCGGGCACAAGGTAGTTTTTAAATGATGAAAGTGTTGTAAAATCATTAGGTGGTGATTTTGTAACTAGATTTTTACTAAAAATCAAATGAATATAAAAAAAGGCTAAGTTTGGGGCTGGAGCCATAGTACAGCGTGTAGGGCATTTGCCTTGCACGCGGCCAACCCGGGTTCGACTCCCAGCATCTCATATGGTCCCCCGAGCACCAACAGAAGTAATTTCTGAGTGCAAAGCCAGGAGTAACCCCTATGCATTGCCGGGTGTGACCCAAAAAAAGCAAAAAAAAAGAGAAAAGGGTAAGTTTATGGTTTGTAAGTTATGGAAGCTGCTTTTTAAAAATCCTTCAAAAAGTCTTTAAAATATTTAGAAGTGTGTTTAATATACTTAATTTTCTTCATCAGAATATATACCAGAATCTTGGGATTTAGAATTTCAAATTTAGATGAGCTGCTTTTTGGTTCCCAAAACAGCACAATAAATTTTTCTAGTAAGTCTATTCTGTGTTTTAAACCTACTAGTTAACTTATATTTTGTATTTCTAAAGCTATGCTTCAAGCTAGAGATGTTAGTCTCTTGATTCTATGTTTGATAATAGAATCTGTCTTTGAATGCTTTTCAATAGGATTTGAAGCCACAGACATTTAGAAATGCATATGACATACCAAGACGGAATCTTTTGGATCACTTAACAAGAATGAGATCTAATCTTTTGAAGAGCACTCGCAAATTTCTTAAAGGACAAGATGAAGGTTAGATCATGGTTTTAACGTTGCTTTAGTGTGATAATGTAAAGTTTATAGCTGTATTAGTCATATAAAGTAAAATTAAATTAGAGTTAAAAAATCAACTCTGATTTTTCTCCATGTCTCTATTTCTACTATTAATCTTGCCCCAAATTCTGTTCCTAAGAGGTAACAACTTTTCATAATAGTGTTTTTTTTTTTGTTTGTATGATTTTTTTGTTTTGTTTTTTGTTTTTTCTTTTTGGGTCCATCTGCGATACCTAGGGGTTTTGCTTCTGGCTCTGCACTTAGAAATTACCTCAGGCAGTGGTCAGGAAACCATATGGGATGCTGGGGTTTGAACCTGGGTTGGCAGCATCAAGGCAAACCCACTGTACTATTGCTCCAGCCCCCAGATTGTATAGTTTTTTTTTGAGGTTTTCGTGTCACTCCTGGTGGTTCTTGGGATTAAAACAAGCACCTGCATGCAAGTCATGTGCCCCAAAACTATCTTTTCTGGCACCTCAGATTTTCAAATTTTTTGTTTTCTGTTATTTTAATTTTATTTAAAACATATCAAAGATTTTGTGTTGGAATATTTGTAATGACAACTAATATGGATTATGTGGTAAGAAAATGTTCTCTTACAGAGCCTAGAATCATACCACATAGCATTTATATAAGAAGACGTTTATTTTTGTTAATTCATTAATTGAATCACCATGAGGTACACAGTTACATAGTTGTTCATGCTTGGTTTTCATTCATACAATGTGCCAGCTCCTGTCCTATTGTTAGTGTACATTTCCCACCACCAGTGTCCTCAGTTACCTCCCCACCCCATCCACACCCCTGCCTGCTTCTCTGGCAGGCACTTTTAAGAAGACAGTATTTAATGACGAGATGGAGTATCATTTAAGTAAGGTTAACACTTTTTGTTGCTCTTTTATGTTTGAAAAGATCAAGTGCACAGTGTTCCTATAGCACAAATGGGAAATTACCAGGAATACCTCAAGCAAGTACCTTCACCACTAAGAGAACTTGATCCTGATCAGCCTCGAAGGTTGCATACATTTGGTAATCCCTTTAAGCTAGATAAAAAGGTAAATTTGAAATGTTCCATTATTTCATTTGCCCTAGAAGCTGTGAATTTAATAATTCTTAAAAAGAGTTATAAAGTATCTAATAGATATTAGTGTAGTGTAATGTAGTTATTTTGAAATTGTGCTATTTAAAAACTATGTAAATAAAGGAAATATTCCTTTTTGTTTTAGGGTATGATGATAGATGAAGCAGATGAATTTGTGGCTGGACCTCAAAATAAACATAAACGACCTGGAGAACCAAATATGCAAGGAATTCCTAAAAGACGCCGCTGTATGTCTCCACTACTAAGGGGCAGACAACAGACTCCAGTTGTGAATAACCATATTGGAGGAAAAGGACCACCTCTACCTACGACTCAAGCACAGCCAGATCTTATTAAACCCCTTTCTCATCATAAAAGTATGTTCTTAAAAAAAAGATTGTTTGCTGCTTTTAGGTTTTTACAGGAAGAGATTTTTATAAGAGATTTATAGAAAAGACACAAAGTTCAAGCATATTAATTTAAAATTAACATGAAATTGTTTTGTATGTCTTTTAGTGACTGTTAAACATTTATATAGGTAACAATGCTTTATTAGCTATAGTTATGGTAACAAAATATCATTTGCAAATCTTAGTATTTTAGAATAATAGGGCGGTTTTATGATTCTTTTTTAAAAATTTTTATTAGTGAAACACCATGAGGTACAGTTGTAGACTTACAAATTTTTGTGCTTGGGTTTCAGTTATACAATGATCAAGTACCCATCCCTCCACCAGTGCCCATTTTCCACCATCACGGATCCCAGTATCCCTCCCACCCCCTATCCCCCCCCATCCCACCCTGCCTCTGTGGCAGGGCATTCCTTTTTGTTCTCTCCTTTTGGGTGCTGTGGTTTGCAAAAGAGGCATTGAGTGGCAATCATGTTCGGTCTATAGTCTACTTTAAGCATGCATCTCCCATCCTGGGAGGATCCTCCCAACACCCTTTATTTGGTGCTCCCTTCTCTTCTAAGCTGCCTTTTCCCCTAGCATGTGTGGCTGGCCTCCAAGCCATGGAGTAAACCTCCTGGTACTAATTTCGGCTTAGAATAATAGTTTTTAAAGGGGCATTATCAGTACTCATAGGAAACTGGTTATTTAAGTTTAACAAATACATTTTAAAATTTTATTTTAGTCACCATGGTTTACTAAGCTATTATTAGTAACGTTTCATACATGAAGCATCCCAGCACCACACCCTCCACCAGAGTGTCTGCTTCCCCCCACTATTGTCCCAGTTTTCCTCTCCTCCCCGTTTTCCTGTGGTAAGATTTCTACTGAAAACCAGTTCATTTCTGTTGCTTGGAGCATTTCTCCCCCGCCCCCAGCTATGTTTTTTTTATATCCTGCAATTTGTAAGAGATCATCCTGTGTCTGTCCCTCTCCTTCACTAACTTTATTTAGCGTGATACTCTCCAGATTCACATCCATGGAGCACCAAATTGCATGATTTCATTTTTTCTTAAAGTCAAGTAACACTGCACCATAGTTCCTTTATCTAGTCATCTGTTCTGGTCACTTGGGTGGTTTCTAGATTTTGGCGCTTGTGAATGGCGCTGCAGTGAACATGGGGGTATAAATGTCATTTCTGAATAGTTTTTTTGGCCCCGGTCATGTGGAAGCTTAATTCCTAATTTTGTGAGAAATTTCCATACTGTTTTCCAAAAGGGCTGGACCAGTGAGCTCTCATACCAGAAGGGAATGCCCACACTGGGTGTTTTTGTTCTTTGTGTTGTCTGTCTCAGTGGTGTGAGATGATAATAATGTGACACAGAGCATTTTTTTATATCCCTTATGGCTGTCTTATATGTTTTCTTTGAAGAAGTTTCTGTTTATTTCTCCCCACCTTTTCTGATGCTGTTGGAGCTTTTGTACTGGTAGAGTTTTACTAGTATGTTGTATATCTCCGATATCAACCCTTTATCTGATGAGTAATGGGCAAATATTTGCTCTTTTTTACTCTAGTCATCATTTTCTTTGTGTTGCAGCAGCTTCTAGGCTTACTATGGTCTTATAAGCTTAAGTAAGGTAAGCTTACTTCTTAGCTTACTATAGTCTCATTTATCTCTTTTCCATTTGTTTGGCCAGCTGTTGAATCATTGACAGTGCAGCTAACTTAAATGCCATGACGTGTTCTACCTATGTTTTCCTCAGTGTATGGGATTCAGGTCTGATAATCGAGATCTCTAATCCATTTTGATTTAACTTTTGTGCATGGTCTTAGAAAGGAGTCTGAATTCAATATTTTTGATGTGTCTAAACAACCAGTTCTCCAACACCTGAAGAGCTTTTCTTGCTCTCTCCATGTCATATTTTTTGCTCCTTTATCAAAGATAAAAGATAGACCTGGGGGATCCAAAGATAGACCTGGGGGATCTATCTTTGGACTCTTGAGTTGAGAGTGTCTTATTTCACTACTACACTGTTTTGATTAGTACAGCTTTGTAATATAGTTCGTTTCTTTTTGTTTTGATTTGGGTTTTAGAAATTGGTTTATTGTGAAACTCCTTAGCCAGGGAGAAACTTAGTTATGGTTTAAAAATTCAGATGTTTGAGAAGCAGTCTAAAAGTATATGTGCAAAGCTGTGAGGCTAAGAGTATTAAGGAACTGAAGGAATTATAGGATAACAAGGATGTTGGTTGGGAATGAGGAAAGTGAAATGCTAAAAGACAGGCAAAAAGGCAGATCATAGAAACTCTTAGAGTTCATTGTAAAGATTCTTGAATTTATTCTAAAAACGATAAGAATATATATCAAGAGTTTCTAGGTTTTAATTTTTTGTTTTTTTTTTTTTAGCACTTAAGCAGTGCTCAAGGCTTAAGTGCTCCTAGCTCTGTGTTCAGGAATCACTCCTGGCAGTGCTGAGGTGGGACATAGGAGGCACCTATGAAGTATCAGGGATTGAACATAGTCTAACACTTTACTGGATCTTTGTGGCCCCTGTCCAAAGCTGACAAGGGGGCAGTGACCTATTTTAATTAGCACCTATTTTTAAAAAAAAAACCAACATCTTTTTTGGAGGGTTTGTGGGGCAGGGTTTGCCTACAGTGCTCAGTATCATGATCCAGTGCAATGCCAGGAATTCAGATTGGGGTCAGCTGCATGCAAGGCAGTTGACTTACCCCCTGAGCTGTCTCTCTAGCTCAATTACTTAGTTTTTTGGTTTGATTTGTTCTCCTCTCCCCCTTTTTATTGTTTTTTGTTTATTTTGGTTTTGATTTTGGTTTGGGGGCCACACCTAGCTGTTGCCAGAGCTTGCTCCTGCCTCTGTATTCAAGAATCACTCCCTTTTGTACTCAAGGGACTATGTGGGGTGCTGGGGGATTGAATCTGGGTTAGCTGTGCACAAGGCAAACATCCTACCTGCCATGCTATCACTCCGGAGCCTTGATACGCATTTTATAAGGCTGTCTGCTTAAATTTTATCAAGGGAAACATGAGTAGATACAAGGAGCCTTAATGAATTCATGGACTCATTAATTATAGATAATGATTGTTTATGGTTTATGATATCTTAACTGAAGAGACCAAATCTTTTATAATCTGTGTGGAACGATAAAGAATTACCTGTGAAGAAATCTCAAAAAATTGAACATCTAATTGATGATACTGAACTAACTAGCAATTCATAGGAAATGTAAGGGCAATTGCACCAACATGAGGTCCCTTGGAGCAGAGCCAGGAGTAACTCCTGAGAACCACCAAATGTGAGTCTAAAACCAAACCCCCCCAAAAAAGATAAGATTTAAGTTTAGAACTCAAAAGGATTGGACTAAAGAGGATAGATATGAAGACAGATTAATGTCCATTGGCATAAATAAAAACCTCACCAAGCAAAGCAGGATAGAGACTTGAAGTTGCCAAACTTTAGAGGAATGAAAAAAACAAGGTTAAGAAAAGGAATGAGGAGGATGACCAAAAAAAAAAAAAAAGGGAGAAAATAGTGAAGAATCTAGTAGAGAAACTAAAGAGAGAATTGAGAGGTTGGTATTCTCAGACATCCATTTGTTAAAACAGCTCAAGAAAAATGGGAAGGTGGTTCAGTTGGTCTTTGACTGTTTCAGCAAGAACATTTTGGGTAGAATAAGGACAAAATTAATGAGGTGAATTGAGGAGTAAAGGGTGAGCTATTAGAGACAATAAATATAAACAGTTTAAGATTTAGTAAATAAAAAAGTTATGGGTTTGAAATTGGTGATTTGCGACCACAGAGATAGAGTAGTGGGTAAAGTGCTTGCCTTATATCTCACTGACCTTGTGTCCATACTCAGCACCGCAGCACCATCAGGGGTCATTTCTAAGCATATAACCAGGAATAGCCCGGAGCATCATTGGATGTGTGGTCCCTAAAAACAAATAAACAACAACAACAACAACAAAAATCAACAACTAAACCTACTAGTTACATAAAATTGCCATACAATAAGGCAAAGACCTAAGTGTTACTGAAATTTGTTGCTGGCTCCCCCTACCACCCAAGAAAAAATTGACTTTGTAAATATTATTTTCTGTTAAAATTCACATGCATTTGCTGAAACTTAAGAACATATTACATTAAATTTTAATTCACACAATTAACTCAGGAGACCAATTGTGATTTGTTGTAATATAGCTTTAATTATTAGCTGGAGCGATAGCACAGTTGGTAGGACATTTGCCTTGCACGCAGCCAACATAGCCGACTCGAGTTCGATTCCTCCATCCCTCTCGGAGAGCCCGGCAAGCTACCGAGAGTATCTCGCCCGCACGGCAGAGCCTGGCAAGCTACCCGTGACGTATTCGATAATGCCAAACACAGTAACAACAAAGTTTCCAATGGAGACGTTACTGGGCCCACTCGAGAAAATGGATGAACAATGGGAGGACAGTGACAGTGACAGATCAGCTTCTTATCATTTTCTCTTTTTTCATTGTTTGTTTTAGCTTCAGATGCCACTAATGATTCGACAATAGATGACGTAATTGAAAATCATGTTGCAGATCAACTTTCATCAGATATTACACAAAATGCAATGGATACTGAATTCTCAACATCGTCTGCCAATTTACTGGAACGACCAAACAATCATACAGAGGCTCTTGGTCATGACCATTTAGGAACTAATGACCTCACTGTTGGTGGATTTTTAGAAAATCATGAAGAGGCAAGAGATAAAGAACACTGTCCTGAAGAGAATGTACCAACATCTTCACTCAGCAAAGGAAAAAAATTAACACATTGCAGAAGCCATGAAGAGGTCAACACTGAACTAAAAGCACAAATAATGAAAGAGATCCGAAAGCCAGGAAGAAGTATGTATAATTAAAGATAAACTTCAGATTGTGGTGTGTGATTTTAAAAATTGTCAAATTAACTGACAACAAATCTAATTTTAAGTCAGTCTTGAGTAATATACAAGCTATATAAGATTTTATTCTTTAGAACACTAAAGTTCTGTGCGTGGTAATGGTGAATGGGAGGAACTGAGCAGAGCAATGGAAGAACACAGAGGACTACCATGACATAACTCTTATGTTCCCCATGGTCTTGAGTATTCTAATCAGCAACTTGAATTTTAATGTTGCAGCAAAACCCTAAAGGCCGTAAATATTAAATGTGCTATATATGTAAAGTTTTTGGATGTTGCTATGTTTTAGTGATCAGAGATGTATTTAGACTAAAAACAATTATAAAAGTTAATCTTTTATATATACAAAGATTTTTTTTTTTTTGCCTTTTGGGTCACACCCAGCGATGCTCAGGGGTTACTCCTGGCTCATGCACTCAAAAATTGCTCCTGGCGGTGCTCGGGGGACCATATGGGATGCTGGGAATTGAACCTGTGTCGGCCATGTTGGCTGCATGTAAGGCAAATGCCCTACCCGCCGTGCTATTGCTCCAGCCCCTAAACAAAGAGTTTTGAGAGATAAAATATCTATATTACTTGGCATTGATTCAGAAGATGCTGACAGTTAAACTATGGTTTGTTTTGATGGTATATGACCCATGAGTGGTCCAGAGTCAGTCCTTTTCTTATTAGTAGCTTAGAGTCCTTTTCAAGATTTATGTAAAAACTTGGAACTGAAACAGAGCTCTTAACCTGTTTTCCACTGTTCATTCTTCCCTCACTCCCAATTAGCTGAATCACAGGAATAGACTTTTGTAAAGGCCACTTGCTTCTTATTTTCATTGCGTTCCCCCCCCCCCATCAATTTTTAAATTATTCTATTTATTTTTTTTATATAGTGTAAAATCTCTATAATGAGTGAATTTTTGCATTATATCTTTCTTTTGGGGCCACATTGGCACTCTTCTCTGACTACTCAGCACTCTGTGCTTGGGGAGACTTGTAGTGCCAGGGATCAAGCTTGGACCTCCTACATGCAAATCATGTGCTCAACATTTTAAGTTGTTTCTCAGCCCCACTTTTTTTTTTTTAAATTTTTATTAGTGAAACACCATGAGGTACAGTTGTAGACTTACAAATTTTTGTGCTTGGGTTTCAGTTATACAGTGATCAAGTACCCATCCCTCCAGCAGTGCCCATTCTCCACCACCACTGATCCCAGTATCCCTCCCATCCCCCCATCCCCCCACCCACCCTGCCTCTGTGGCAGGGCATTCCCTTTTGTTCTCTCTCTCCTTTTGGGTGATCAGCCCCACTTTTATCTTATATCTTGATGCTAAAAAAAATTCTACAATAGAAAAATACTGAGTAAATGCAAAGGAAAGCCACTTAATTTTTCTTGTTTTTTTTTTTTCTTTTAAGAATACGAAAGGATCTTCACTTTACTGAAGCATGTGCAAGGCAGTTTACAAACAAGACTAATATTTTTACAAAATGTTATTAAAGAAGCAGCAAGGTAAATCTATAGCACATTATGAAATGATGAAATGACTCTTCCATATTAGTAATTTTAATAGTAATTTGCACTTATGTGTTGTCTATGACATAACAATGTATATATGTGTATATATATACATATATATGCATTTTTTCTTTTAAGAGTTGATTGTAAGGTGTTTACTTAAAAAATAACCACACCTGAATTCTCCTTTTTTCCTCCAAATAACTAGATATCTTAATTCTCATTTTATTCTACTCTGTGGCCTTTTGGTAATATTTATATTTATAACCTCTGAATGTTCTCTGTATTTGGACAATGGTTAATACAATTAGTGATTAGAAATAACCTGGAAAGGCAAGTTTTGGGTGGTTTTTTTTTGTTGCTTGTTTGTGTTTTAGCGAGGACCTCCCAAATAGTGCTTGGGAGTTTCTGGGACCTTTCCTGGTGATTCTCAGCCAACAAAGCCACTATAAAGGTGCTCATGGAGCCTCCAGGGCTGTACCTAGTGATGCTTGGGGACTATGTGGTATCAGGGATTGAACCCAGGTGGGATGCCTGCTAGGCATGTATTCTAACTTCTGTACTATATCCAGATTTTGGTAGGCAATATTTGAATATAGTTTATTTGTATAATTCATGAAAAAACTTGTAATTGAAGAAATCAGAGTTGACCAAATGGGTTTTGATTGCCACAGTAGCTCAAGATTATGTATTGAATTTGGATAAAAATTATAAATGATAACTATGAAATGCTGTTCACTGGAAAGCATAGTTATGTGAGTCCATTTGAGTTCAATAAAAAACCCTTTTTAATTGTTCAAGACTTTTAAAAGTTTAGTAGCACTGTAGCACTGTCCTCCTAGCAATTTGCTCAAGCGGGCACCAGTAACGTCTCCATTGTGAGACTTGTTGTTACTGTTTTTGGCTGGAGCAATAGCACAGAGGGGAGGGCATTTGCCTTTCACACGGCTGACCTGGGTTCGATTCCTCCGTCCCTCACGGAGAACCCGACAAGCTACTGAGAATATTCAGCCTGCACGGCAAAGCCTGGCAAGCTACCCATGATGTATTCGATATGCCAAAAACAGAAGTTGAGTATTGTGTAAAAAAAAAAAAATTGGGTTTATTTAATCTGATGTAAATATGCCTCGTTTTTATACACCTCCAGTACACTACTCTGAAGTTTATTCTTAGAGTAATTAATTCTTTTTAGTTAGTCAGATCATGGTTACTTTACAGAAAAACCACAACTCCGTACTATTTTGAGGATTTTAATCTGTTTTGTTCTTATTCTGTTAATTCAAATGTTATGGATCTAGCTGTACTCCTGGTTCCTGTACTGCACTCCTGCTGCATTTTAGAGAAATGGACTGTGCTTATTAGAGTATAACTATAGAGGTAGTATTTGAGAAGATTCTTAAATGTAACAACAGCATAATTACTTTTCTAGATTAGTGTAATCTTAGTATATTACTGAAAAAAATTTTAAATGGTGACATCGTAAGCACAAATGTGTAATTATCTTTGCTTTCCTATTTTTCAAATTGTAATTTGTAGAATATAGAGGCTTGTAAATGCTGTCTTGCAACTCATACAGCTGCTATTCTTTTTGGGAGAGTTGAGAGCTAATATTCATTCCTTTCAATATTAAGTAATCTATTGAAGCCATTGCTGTAGGAGCCCAATTTTGCTGTAATATTTTAATTTTTTGTATAAAGTTAAAAGGTTTGTTTCTGCTTTTGGGAATGAATAACGTCTTTCCCAGTGAACCTTGTACAGGTACCCTGTATAGTATTTATTTCTAGTTTTTGGGGGGAGGCCATACCCAGTGGTGCTCAGGGCTTACTCCTGGCATTGCACTCAGGTTTCACTCCTGGCAGTTGTGGGGCACCGTATGCAGTGCTGAGATCAAACCTAGTCAGCCACATGCAAGGCAAGCCCCTTAGCCCCTGTACTATCTCTGACACATGAATTATTATTTTATGAACAAACTGTAATAATATTGTACTGATAATTTGTTCATCTTTAATAGATTTTATATATCACAAAGTACTGGTTTTTTAAAAAAAAAATTCACATTGAAAAACTGTCCCAAAGCAGTTTCTCTCTTCAAAAAGCAAAAGCATTGTACTGTTGTATAATTACCCATTAAAAAATATTAAGAGTGCTATTACTTACTTTTTTTTTACAGGTTTAAAAAACGAATGCTAATAGAACAGCTGGAGAACTTCTTGGATGAAATTCATCGAAGAGCCAATCAGATCAACCATATTAATAGCAATTAAAAGAGAACAGAATGTGGCCACTTATTTCACTATCTTCTCCAAATACAAAGTAAATACAAGACTGTTGTGATCTTGCATTCATTTTTTGACATGCATTGTTGGCTATTTGAAATACTAAGAACAAGTCTACAGATCCTTTTCCATCATTTTACAGTGACCTTTTCTTCATTTTGGTTTATTTTTGTAATGTGAAAAGTATCACTCTAAAAACATTTTTATTTAACAAACTAAAAATATTCCTCCAAATCTCTTGCTTGTCATTGACTCTTGCGTGTCAATTTCCCTCAGGTTCTATTTTCTTAAACCAACCTTTAAACTTGTCACCTCTGTTAAGGTTGAACTTTGCCAAAAAATAAAAGAAATAAGTTACTTTGTAATTTTTGGGGAAAAAAGCACATACATTAAAACTAGGTAATGTTTTGTATATACAGTTATTTTGGATATATTATTGTAAGTTGTACAAATGTATTTTGAAGAATATTTAAGAAAAGCACTTTTGTTATTCCATCAATAAATGCTCTATTTTACTCTTGTGTGATTTAGGAAATAATCACATTTAAAGTAATCACTTAAAATCACCTTAAGATAATGGAATTTTAAAGGCCTTGCTTTTTAAAGCATTGGAAAATACACCACTTGACATTCATAATTGTTAAACCTATCTGTAATTACATGTTACTTAAGCTGCATTGTTTTTTTTGTTTTGTTTTGTTTCGTTTTATTATATGTTCTTAGTTTTTATTGGCTCTACCAACATACTTTCAGTACTTTCATTCTGCCTAGATAAAATGGAAATGATGGTATCTTTGGCAGACCAACACCTTTGAGACTGTTTTCAAAAGTAGATAACCTTTGGAAATTATTGGTTTCCTTTCCTTTAACTCCTTTTCCTTTCTCACTAGGATTGTGGATGACACTAAGTGGAAGCTGTTGCTTAGGGAGTAGTAAGTTGGGGTACACCACATAATACGAAATATCTAGCCTTTATAAACTTGATGCCCAGCTTCCAAAAGATCTGCAGAAAATGGGAGCTTCAAAGGGAATCTTTTTGTTTTGTTCTCATAGTCTCACACTTAAAAATCTTCATTTTATTTAGAAACTAAATAGAAAATGCATTTAAGATAACTTTGCTCATTTTGTTGTTCATCCCAAGTTGTCCAAGATAAAAATAATATGACACCCTTTATTCTGAACCCACAGTCCTGAATGGCCTTGTATATCCTTATCGGGGGTGTGACCATAAGACCTGACTCACCCTTTATAGATCACTGCTGTGCCTTGTAGTATTTTGGGGTTGACCATTAGAAGCGAAAGTTGAAATACATTTAGATTAAGATACAGCAAAGTTTATAACATTATAATAAAATTGAATTATTTTTAGGTTTGTATCATAATATTTAAAAATTATACCCTTTTTATGCTTTGGATGAACATTTTTAAAATCTCAAGGGTATAGTAAAATGATTACTTTCTATGAAGAAAAGCTTAGATGAATGTTGAGAATATGCTTGAAATCTGTTCATTAGTTTTAGGGGATTTGAAACTTCTCCCAACACTAAAGACCAAGCCTGTCATGACTAAAAAGCATTTAATGTAATGTTGTATAATATTTTCATATGCAGTTCTTTAAATCTTTTTTTACCTCGACAAAATCTTTAAGATAAGTCAGGATAGATTTAACAGATGGACTTGGTAAGGTCATGTTGTAAGTCATATTGCTAAAATCAGTAAGAGCTATAAAATCTAGAATTGTCCCAATGTTAAATTACAAATATTAAGATTCTGAGATTAATAGAATGTAAATCATTCAGTTATTCAAGTTTATACTTTAAAAAGTTTAGAAAAACGATTTCATCTATTCTAATATTTAGTTCTCGTTATCAAAATTCTTAATTCCATTTCTCAGTTGCTTAGGAGGTGATAATCATTTAGACTTTTGACTTTCAGTACATTTATTTTTGAGACATACCTTGAGGGTCTCAGGAAGTAGTATTTTCATTCTTTTTGTCCTAATTCTCTGCCATGATACTCTACATAGTCTCATCCTTAAACCTAGACAGAAGGCTTGAAAACCATTGAAACTCAAGTTTAGCAAACCATCATTTGCAGAAAAAAAAAATAGACATATTAGTTAAATTAGTAGAGTACTTAATGGTAGATATTTTTCCTTTTCTGTAAGTAAAGAAGAGGAGAAGGGAGTATATTTCAATTATCAGTTTCAACTTCAATTTCAATTTGAGGGAAGTTTACCTTTTAGGCACTTTAAAATCACTGAATGGCCTTAGGCTGGACAAATTATATTCTCTAACAACTTAATCTTGAATTTAAGTTAGTTTTTCTGAACATTATATATGATCAATATGTAATTAATCAGAACATTATTTCCCTTTACCAGTAAGGTTTGTCATTTTGGTATATGTATGCAGAAATTCATTTTTATCTCTTTGATATCCCTGCATAGAAAAATGTTGGTTTCGCCTTAAGTCATGAGGGCAGATACATCTCAGAGATAAATAAAATTACAAGGACTAATATAGTGTGGTGGATTAAGGAACTGGTTCGAGATTAGTCATATCTTTATTCTGCTTATTAAGACAGTTTTGAATACTCACATCTTTAATTAGATTCTACTTTTTTTCATTTAAATTAAAAATTTGTTCTCTTTAAACTTTTATCAACCTTATTGGCTATCTTCTTTGGCAGTGACCTTTCTGTTTAGTCTTCTCTTTCTTCATCTTTCATTTTTGATATGTAGTTTTCTAAAAGAGGACACTTTGCTGATAAGTTCTATTCTGAGGAATGAGTGACATTTTCATCTAATAAATGGGGGTTGCAGTATTGATGGTAAACAACTAGAAGGATATATGCCGTGGACATTTTCTTCCCCAGTACTTCCAGCACAGATTACTTCCTAGTGAATAATTATCTTCATCTATTTTTTTGGTCACAGACGTGTTTTTCATTTCTAACACGAGTTATAAGCAGTAAGCAAATGATTCTCAGATAAAATGATGTTGACAGTATTCCTTAAAATTTATGTAAAGTCTATGAGTAATTTTAATTATTCTAACTTGGACTTTTTCCCCTCTCCACAAATAAAATAATGTCTGATGTTTAGTTAAAGTAGATCCACTTTTGCTTGATTTTGTTAGTCTTATTCCATCCTGTTTAACATATTGTTTAGGCTTGCCAACAACTCTTTACTGAGAATCTCTTCATGCCTAGGCTGATTAATTACGGGGGTGGGGGGGAGTTGGAGGGAGGGAAAGAGTAAGAGAATTTGAATACAGTTTCAATGTTGTTGATGTTTAAAGGACTTTTGCTTGTCCTTTTTATGCTGCAGCTTTGCCTGTACCATATTATTTTTGGATTAAGGTGAGATTGTATAGTAGGACTCAAAAGTCCTCAGGCAAACATTTGATTTTTGTGTAATTTCAGCAAGCTTGAGAAAGATTAGCTGAAAAAGCTTAGGTGTGTTCACTGGAATACTAGTGTTGTTGAGAAAGAACTGCTTGGCTACTCTAGTGGTCCAAAGGAGCCATCTTCTACAATGGCAAGAAAGCTAGGCAACAACAGGAAAACAAGCCAACATTTTTAATTTATTTTACTCTCATGGTATTTGTCTCCCTAAAAGTAGAAACCTGAATTTAAACAAAAGCTACAGATGAGCTGAAAGAGAAAGCACCCCCCTCAATCTCCAAAACAAGCATGGAGAATATTACTGCCTTTCTTGTTATGAAATAGTCCCTTTTTTTAGGCAACATGACAGCAATTGGAAAGTTTCTAGAAGCACCATAGAAACAAGCTGGAGGGAATGTTTGTTTTGTGCTCTAGTGGACAAATGAGCCCTTGTTGCTAGAGAGATGGTAATAAATACTTGATTTTCTGATTTACGTTTTTTTTTTTAAATAATGTAATACCTATATCAGATTTTCTTAGGAAAAAAGATAAATGACTAATCTCAGTTTAAAATAATCCCAAATATTTTCTGTAACAATAGAGTTTTAGGGAAAATAATAGAAGAATCACATTGTATTTTTTATTTAAGTCAGGGAAGTCATTAAAATTTGCTTCCAAGTTCAGTTAAATCACTTGATTTATAATGTTTTATTGTTTTATGATGGGGTGCAAATAGGAAGATTTAAAACAGCCAACCCTATTTTTAAATGTGTCCTATTTTTTAAATATTCAATAAAATAATTTCTCAATGCAGGTCATTTAATAACTTCCTTATTTATGAGGATGGTACAGATTCTTTAAAAAATGCCTCTTCCTACTTTTTTTTTTAAAAAAAACTTAACATTTCATTCCTTTAAATGATAGATCTCTGGAGATAGTGAGTAGTTAGAGGTTTCAGTGAGAAGATTTAGAGGTGTAAGCATTGAATGGAATAGATCTAACAGATACAGCCAGACTGGAAAGACAGTACAGCGAGCAGGGCTCTTGCTTGCACTGGACTGACCTGGTTCAGTCCCTGGCACCACGTATGGTTCTCCAAGCTCCACAAGCAGTGATTGCTGAGTAGTACAGCCCCCAAATAAATACATACAATCATATGTGTATGTGGCCAAATACTGCTGACCTCCCTTAACTCTGTGTGGCTGCAGACATGATGCATTCCTCTAAAACCTCAATTTTGGCCTTGATTATTTCAGAAACATAAAATCTATCTTGGCCTAGTCTCAGGAAATGGTGTGTGTGTGTGTGTGTGTGTGTGTGTGTGTGTGTGTGTGTATGCGTGCGCGTGCGTGTGTGTGTATTAGGTGTTGCATGTGTGTGAACATTTTAAATGGTTTTAGTTTAAGAATTTGACTATAAATGTACTTGGTTATTGTTTTTATTGACTACAGAGAGTAAGGAAAGTAGGTTCAGTGTTTCACACATGCTTTGAAACCTCAAACTGGATGATCTCTTCCAAATTAATATTTAGAATTGTGGCCCATTTTCTTTAATTTTCAAAACTAATTTATAATATTTAAATACTTTAGCCAGTATTTTTATACGTAAGTGGTAATAAGAAAGCCAGAATATGTGTTAAAATTCTATTTATATGACCCAAGAATCAATATGCATTTTCAGCCCATTTGAATGGCATTTTGGATTATTTTAAAACCCACTTAAAATGACAAGGTCACAGGTTTATACTGGTCTTTAATATATTAAAGTCTAATGCCTCATGACTGCATTCTGTAGACTGGGGCATATTAGCTATACAGTTAATGTGCCTCATTAAAGCAAATGAAAGGAACAAATATGAACATTTTCCACAAAAAAGGTAAAGAATAAAAAGCTTAGTAAATAGGAATATGAGTTATTTAGAGGAACTAATAGGTTTACAAGTTTGCAAATGAAATGGTACAAGATAACAATAAAGAATCTTTAGAACGTCAGAAATTAGTCTGACCTTTTTAGAGTGAACTATTAAATCATCTGAGTCCACATATTTGATAAGGAGAGTTGGTAATATGCGAGTTTTCTGACAGTGCAACGTCCATTTTCATTCCCATCATGCGACACAAACACTTCATCATTCAAAAAGTATACACTTGTCAGCTGGTTTGCTACTGGAAAGAGATCTGAAGTAGGAATATTCTAATATGTATATTGACAAAAAGGTTTTGGTATTTTTTGTGCATGTACAGGAGGTGGCAGGTGAATGTTAGGAAAGATAAAGCCACAGTATAGAATAACATTTTATCTAACTTGTAAGTTATACACAGGAATGAGTTGGGTTGTATTTGTTGTGAGGAAGATATTTTCCAGTGCCCCTCTCAAGGGCCAGAGCAAGGCAAAAACCAATGGAAACATTCACCTGATGTCACTTGTCCTAAAGCCAGTAAAGAATCTTCTTTTTCTTAGAAATTGATCTTTTTCTGAAGGATCTTTTAGAAGGGAAATTTATATTAATTCGCCCCTCTAGCTCATTGAGAATTTAAATGCAGTGATTAGAAAGAATTTTATGGATAAAGAATGAATCTGTGATGATCATGAATCTACTGATCTCTTACTTTCCAGTATGGTGTCTGAGCATTTTAAATGATGAAATGAGCAAAGACTTACTATGACACCTTTTATTTGTTAAAATATCAATTTGCTTTTTTAAAAGTACTTTGGCCCAATGTGAGAATAAAACCAACTGGTATGGATGAGTTTTGGGTTAGAGGGAGTTGGCTACTTAAGTTTCTTAGAACTACAGCGTTTCACCTGAATAGCTTTTCTTCTTGACTATTGGAGTATCCCAGTAACTGACATTTATGTGAGTGCTGTAAACCAAGATTCAGCCTGCCATGACTGGGCATATGCAACTCAAATTTTCTCTGTGGTACTACAGTTTACGTTTCAGAAAACTTAACAATCAAAATAAGGATTCAAAAGGGATCTTTGTTATCTCTTGCTTGATCTCATATTACAAACCTTCATTTGCATCTGTTAAACTATGGTAACTACATAACTAACAAGAACTTAGGGTTTATCCTCTCCTTTTACTTGCTAAATGCCATTGACTTAGTTTTTCAAAAATCTTGCCTATGATCATGTTTAGGAACTATATATAAAAGGGTTCCATGATTAAAAGTGGGAAATGCAGGGCTTGGGTAGACAGTACAGTGGGTAAGGTGCTTTTCCTGCATGTTGCTGACCCAGGTTCAGTTCCCAGCAACTTGCCCTGAGCCCGGAAAGGGTTGTTCCCTGAGCGTTGAACACTGTCCGGTGAGCACCCCAATAAAAAGGAGGAAAAAGGGAAAAGATAGGTTCCATAGTTCAGCACTTGATTTTT